ATGTCTACCGCTGGAACATCCGAGAAGAGTCGGTGACGCTTCTTTCCTTCTTGCATGCTCGTGACTGAGGAGTGGTTGATGTCCAGACGTATTGTCCCGGGGTCCATTGCGATATCTGTTCGATGCGTTGGCTCTAACGTCAACTGATCCCAGACCTACATTTTATCAATACCATCCCCAAACAAGAGCGAGTATACTTACTGGCGCATCAAGAACGGCATTTGCGAGGTCTTGCAACTGCTTGTCAGGCAAAAGCTCATTACGTAGACTGAGCGTCATGTCAATGTGCATGTCATGTCCACGGCTCACCCATACAGCACCCGACGTCAACGCGTCTAGATATTCGGCTGATGTTAGCTGCTGGAGGTAAGTTGCATCCTGTTTTGGTGAGATGGTGATGAATGTTGTGAGCCAAAGCTCGTGATCAGTGGCAGGCGAGCTGAGCACTGCGCGCCCGAGCTCAATTGATCTCAACATTATCGCCCAACCAGACTCCGGTCTGTGGAGGAGGCGAAGGCAGCGACATGAGCGTTGCAGAGATTGGTGGAGCGGCGGGGTCTGAGACTGATGTATCGTTATCGGTGCCAAGAGATGGGTTCGGCAAGCACCCTGGGGGTTGTTGCTTCCTCGCGGGCTCGCGGGTCCTGCAACCTCCACCTCGCGTCGCAACATGAGGAGCCTCACCACCAACGCGCTTCGGCGCGTCAGTCAAGCTGCATTGCTCCAAAACGCCATTTGCAGGTCTCCGGTAGCGGTCGCGGGCTCAATTGGTCGAAGACATCTTCATTGCAGCCCCTCGCGACGCACCGATGGCGTATTTCGAGAGCTCACGTCGATGCGCGTGCGCACCCCATGGATTGAAGCCTTGCGCCAACAGCAGTCAGAGGGGAAACAATCTACGGAGCCTTCAGGAAAGCCCGAAGTACCCAAAGATCGCAAGCTGACAGGCAAACGTATGAGCGAGAGCTACCATTCGGTTGTACTCCCGCTGGCTCAGGACCCATGGATCCTCGACACATATCTTAACGCCTCAGGGCATATACGGCTCGGAACTATCTTCATGGATCTCGATGCTCTCTCCGGCATCATTGCGTAAGCGTTCAACAGCTACGCGTAGTAGCTGACCGGGTCTGAAAGCTGCAACAGGTACAAGCATACCGGAGACGACGTGACTACTGTTACGGCTAGCTGCGACCGCATTACCATTCACTCCCCACTGACCGAGATATGCGATCTAGAACTATCTGGCCGCGTGACCTATGCGACTGGCAGAAGCAGTCTGGAGATCACGATGCAGGTTGCCAAAGCACCTAAGAAGGGCGAGCAGGCCAAAGACGAGGATGTCTTGATCAACTGCACCTTCACCATGGTCTCCCTAGATCCAGGCACCAAGAAGTAAAGATCAACATAGTGGGTAAGGATTCTGGCAGCTAACTGGTCCGCAGGCCCGTAAACGTCAATCCTCTAATCGTCGAGACGCCCGAAGAGAAACGCCTATATGCTCTCGGTGAGCATAACTCGAAAGTGCGAAAGGAGCGCCGAGATACCTCTTTGCTCAAGCATACGCCGAACGACCTCGAAAGCGACCTCATACACGCCTTCTGGCAAAAGCAGTTGCAGTATCATGGTCAGTCCTATCGCTACCACTTCTCATCCCCCAACTAATAATCCTAGACCCCTACGATGACCTACGCAAACCCGATAACGTTGTCTTTATGGATGCGACGCGTCTCCAGACCGCCACAATCATGCAACCGCAATACCGCAATCGCCATCACTTCATGATCTTCGGTGGCTTCCTCCTCAAGCAGACCTTCGAACTCGCTTTCACTGCTGCCGCAGCCTTCGCACACGCGCGCCCGACCTTCGTTTCCCTCGACCCTTCCACGTTCCAGAACCCAGTACCCGTCGGTAGCATACTGTACCTCACGGCTACAGTCGTATACACAGACCCGCCGCTGATCGGCGCGCCCGACGAAAAGGTCGACGATCAAGCCGAATATACACGAGTGCAGATTAGGATTGACTCAAAGGTGCGGGATGTGGAGCATGGCCACAGCAAGCCGACAGGGCAGTTCAACTACACGTTCACGGTACCGAAGAACATCAGGGTGATGCCAAGGACCTACCAGGAATTCATGATGTATATTGATGCAAGGAGGCGAGCTGAGCAGGTCAAGCGGACACTGGAGGAAGGATACGGTGTCAGCCCGAAGACGGCAGAGGATAGTCTGACAGAGTAAGGCCTCGATGGCATACATCACAGGCAGGAACAAGCAGAAGTCTGGGTCATTGCTATACAGCATGCGATCAGCAGTATATGCTGTAAATAAGCTTATACAAACAGTATTCAACGAGTTGACCAAGGTTTCCCATAATTCCGAACGCCTATCCCAAACAACTCCATCTCGAACAAGGCTTAGAAGCCGGTGAATGCGCCTGCGTGCGCCGATAAGCCAAATCATAAAATGAAAAGGTATAGCGCGTCAAACACAGGCCGAGAACGTGAAAAGGAAAGTACCGCGTGGGATTGATGCTGCATGCAGCATGCACGAGGCTGACTGCACAGGACGTGCATCAACAAGGCGGTGAGCCTCATTCGACCAATAACCCCAAACGCGCACGCGTGCTGTCACAACGCTACGCGCAGTAAGGTCCGCAACATGTTAATCGCCCTGCAGGGCAAGTCAGCTCCATGCCATGTGCTATCGGACGTGGATTCCGTCTCCGCACATCCACTCTACTCCACACATTCACTTACCCTGCATAGGTACCCGCTTGTCTTCCCCGTAAGCCGAAAGAAAACGTGATTCCCTCTCCACCTATAATTCATCCAGCTCAAATTCCAACGCCACATCTTCTGAACAGTCTGTGCAGTAGTAATTCGAGAAGCCGCCGCATTCGATCTTCATCTTGGAACACATGTCGATGGACCAGGCGTCGTAGGAGTAGCCCGAGAGGAGGCGCGAGGAGCAGACTTCGATGCTGTTGGCCCTGTGGGGGTGTTAGTTGGGTTTGAGGTCGAGATAGGAGGGAAGGGAAGGGTAGGAGAAGGGCGTACCAGATATAGTAATCGTGGTTACAGTAATACCACGAGTATGTGTATGAGCACATCTTGAATATAGTACTTTGTTGTTACGGTAGGAGTTGATGGGATAGGTGTTTGTGCTTGGGTATGCTTGCCAGACAAAGCGATGCTGGTCTGGATACTTGTTGTTATGTGTAACGATGCTATACATATACACGTTAGCTGACCGCTTCTTCCCCTGTAGATCTCCCTTGCGTTCGTGGGTTGTGCTTCCGCGGAACATGGAGTGTGGATTCTAGACCCTGCATTGTAGTCGTGGCTCTAACGGAGGTGTATGCGGGATCTTATTGTTTACTTGGTACTCACCTTTCGATGTGTTGCTTCCGAAAAGGAAACCGAGATCGTAAGTCTGAGAGATGTGCTCGTGCCTTTTCGTATCTTGCTTCAAGTCCACTGTTACAACGATGCAGATAGCTTCAGTTCAAACGTTCAAACCCCGGGATATCTCCGCGCTTTTATGCTCATCACCTCTGACTCTTACCAGGAGCTTGGGCCGACGGCTCATTGCAGATACGCCGATATGCTTCATGGCAGTCCCCCGGATTAGCTGATAAGACGAGGCGAGGCGGTGCTTTCCAACCAATCCGACCAACCACATGTTCGTGTCATCCAAGATGGGAAGCCGAGCCGGGGAATAGATCCATGGCCCATGCTCGAAGTTCGGCTATTCTGAGGTCGCGTGGAGAAGGCGGTGGAGGTTCAAGCATGTCAGATCGATGTGGTGCTCAGCTCCTGGCGACGTTCCAGCAGCTATATGAGGGTTTGTAGTTTGAGTCTGTCATCTTGTGGCTACTAGATTGAGTTGTTTGACAAGTCTAGTACTGCATTCTGACGATAGCGAGCGCGAAAGTGTGTCAAGAGACCCCAGACTTTCCTTCTCGCCGACGACCGGTTGGACCCTGCGTCTGCGGGACCTGACCTGCATGCAGGGACCTCAAGCTAGCCGTATCGGTCAGCTTCACTTCTCATTGGACAAGGCAGACCGGGACGAGCAGCTGTAACGGCCTCCGGCCTCGAGATAACGATAGTAAAGCTGCTGAAGATGATTTGTATGACAAGTCAAGTTGTATTTTGAAAGGCTGCTCAGCGAGAAGGTCAGTACTGCGATCCATAAGGATGTCTTGAGTGTTCACGTGACGAACTGCGTGGCCGAGACCGAAGTAGAGGGAATTGGAGATCATACGAGCCAAACTCATTGATAACAACTTTCACGCGATCTTCGTCCCCTCCCGCGTGTTTGATATTCGCAAAATTCTATCCAGATCGTTTCTCGTTGCGGCATCGATCAAAGGCCTCCTGCTTCGGTGAAGTCGGCGGTCTTATCGGCTAGCGTGCGATAGCCGACAATGCCTGGGGTGTCGGCATCGCGCAGTCTTCCAGCTTCCAAGGTTCTCCAGCATCGCGAAATGAAGTCAGCCTTGAACATATGCAGGGATGCACTGCAATGCCGACACTGACCGTGTCACTCGTCAAAGATCACGTGTCGAACCAGCCCCAACGCGCCCTCGATCTCGGTCTCGGTCCTCCCTTCCCAAAACCCGCCGGTCTCGCCAAGCAACATCCAGGAAATCGCCCCGTCTTTCTAGTCGCAGACAAGACGGGGGCATCGCATCGTCATCAAATCCGGCGCCCCGATGGCTGTCGGGCCTGTCGCACCGCAATGCCGAAGGTTTTCGATGGTTTTCGACGTGTATTGCCTGTCTGGGCAATGTTGAGGTCTTGGTCTGACGGTGGTGTCGCATGTCGGGCGGCCGACCCCGAAATTTCACGGGCGTCGGCGGTGTTGGAGGGCCACCGTCGGCCGACGGGCATGCGATGTCTTCGTCTCACTCCTGTGTAGACTGTGTCCATCATGTTCCGGAACTTTGACAATGCCAGCTCCGACCGTCTTAGCATCTCGTCGCACGTCGCCTCACCGTTCCTGCTGCGGTCGGTCTTCTGCCCAGCTAATGTCACACCAAAGACCCAGGTGATCGCTGAAATGCGCGTTCAACCCCCGTTCCGCTGCATCGGCCGACGTCTCTCCACTACAGAATCTCATTTCGCTTGTTTGCAGGATGCGCATAGCTGATGGGTGGAGGTTCAGCAGAGCAACTTTATCCAACCGGTTCGGCGGGAAAGACTGTTCACCGTATACACCCCAAGTATGACCTGGGTCGTCTGGATGAAGCTCTCCCCACGCATCCGTAAGACCGTTGCTACTGACAAGGTCGTCATCTTCCGGAAGAATGCAATTGAAGTCACCGGCGATGATCCCACGACCAGCCGCCCTGAGGTACGACGCACCGATGGAGACTTGACGCGGCCTCATCGACGGATTGATTGGCAGCGAATCCAGGTGGACGTTGACGAGTCGGACACGGGTGGACCCTTTACCGGAGGTGTGCTTGCTCTGAGAGTTAAGGATCAGATCGCAGCACAGCGCGTCGCGTCCAAAACGACTAGGTAATGCGACCCTCCAGATTGCGCCTAGCAAGATACCCTCTGTGGCTAGCCAGAGCTTGGAGACCAGCGTGATGCTGATGAACTTCTGGGTTCCATACGCGGAGGCATCGACATCGCTTATGTACCAGTTTTGCTGTGTCCAGGAATCTTCAAGCAGCGCTGTAAGACCTTCCCTTGATACCTCCTGCAGGAAAACAACGTCTGCAGCGCCTGTAGTCTCTATGGCACGTAGTAATGCAGACATACGAGACTTTGGTAACGGCGCATCGGCGTTTACGTTCCAGCTCACGAGGCGGAATGAGCCCGCCCACTGGTGTTTGATGCCAAGCTGAGTGGCTTCGTCGCTGGCAAATGAAACCCACTGGTCTTGGTCAAAGACATGCCACTTCTGGAAGTTAGGTGTTGCGGCAGCTGCTGGTAAAGGTGTTTGTTGCCACCATGATTGGAGGCGGGTGCGTATTTGCGATAGCATGGTGAGGCAGAGTTCGAACGTGTAGTTATTAAGGTAGTGGTGAAGAGGACGGAGGCTCGGTGGCTTGGAATGTGTTCTCACAAAATGCGAAGAAGCTGTTGTAACATATTGGTGTTGGTTATTACGAGTTAGCGTTGATGTTCTACCAAGGTTGACTGTTCCGTGAATAGGCAGCAGCTTACGTATTATGGTACTTACTATATACCAATAGTTTTTGTGAAGTGCAGCGGTTGGCCGCTACATTAATAGCGGAGCACAACTGAGAGGTGAACGTTACAATTCATCACGTCTACAGCGATGTTCGTGCACCTTTTCTGCACCACTTGAATTGCTCTACATACCAACACCGCTATAGATGTTCGCTAGCCCGAGCCTCTTAACGCCAGCCTCAAACTTAGACTGAACAGCTTCCTTGCCCAGCGCTTTCGTAGCGAACTCCTTGTAGTGCTCTTTTATCTCAGTCGATCAAGAAGTAGGTTTCGTTGACATCTGGAAACTTGGACGCTTCTCCTTTCATCATCCCATGAACGTAACAGCCTGCAATGAGGCGGAATTCCATGAACTTCCTGCTCCCTCGCATTACAAAAGGGACGTCGCAACCTCCAATGACGCTGATAACATCACCCACTCGAACGCCGTTGGGTGCGATACCACAGTGCTTGCGTTTCGTTGTGATGAACCTCCAGCCTGCGATATTCGTTTTCAGTAGCTCTTCATACTGTCTGCCTTTTTCCTGCATCGTCATGACTCCTGTCTGTATAGAGCTGGACGTCTTGGAAATCGGTGCTCTAGACGTACGTAGGTTCAACTGTTTTGCGGATTTGAATCTAGCCTTTTTCAAGCTTTGACGAAACGCTGTGTATGAGTCTTCGATGCTCAGTTCTCCGAGTGAGAGTGCTCCTGCTATAGGAACCTGTACTTTCAGATCATGGCGATACTCTGGTAGTGACTCACTGTGCAGAGCATTGATCATATCGTCGATCTCTGCAAAGTATTTTACCCATTGTTTTGGCCCCTGCCCATTCGAGGTCTTGCTTACTTCAATGATGTCATCGAAAATGCAGCCGTTGACCTCGAGGAAGTCTCGACCGAAGATGTCTCCCCTCACGCCCTTCGACGTGTTGATGTCTTCCTTCACGCCCTTCGACGCGTTGAATATGATGCCACGGTCGTGTAGATCAAGCAGTCTGTCTCTCGGTCTTGCAGTGAGATCTGGAAGCCACGAAGGAAATCGGGTCCTTGCTGTATCTGATCTTCCTGCAATTCCAGCTCTGCGAAGCAAGTGCGCTCCCTTGCCCTGCTTGACGAAGGTTTCGCCGTACTGAACAGCAATTGAGACAAATGGAATTGAACCATACCGAGGCGAAAAGCCGTCTTCGTCACCGTCTGATGCTAGACCTAGCAAAGCAAAGAAGTGGTCGCGCTTGAGAGTCGATTGCATGTAATGAAACTTATCCAGCAACGTGAAGAGACTGAAGCGACGTTGTCGTGTTTCCAGTTCTCGCAGGCTCGAAAGCGTAGAAAATGGCGCCCAGGAAGCTGTAATGTCATTTGGCAAGTGTGGCTTCTGTTGCACTATCTCCATGGCGAGATGGATATCCTCCCAATCTACTATCCATTTACCGCAAACAAATGTGACGGTAAGGGAAGCGACGGCTTCTTGTACAATCCAAGCTCGTCTGAACCACGTTCGGTCAAACAGAACTTTGATGTCCTGCCAAATAGGATCTTCTAAGCGTGGCTTAGACTCATGTTGCCAGGATTCTGGGACCTTCTTCAGCTCTTTGGGCCATTCCTCTGATTTGTCGAGCTTAGCCCTGATCTGTAGCAAGGTTTCAATAGCATCATCGCTGCGCCGATCTGAGCCAAGGAATGCTATAGTCCGGCTGGCTTGTTGGAAGATCTGAGGTAACAACCGTATCTGCTGTATCTTTTCGCTGTCATCAATTTGATTGATACAGATCGCATCGATCCAGAAGACTGCAGCATTTTGTTTTCCTCGCAAGGTCAGGATGGCCTTGTGAAGAGACCCCCAGATCTTCAAGACTCCACTTTCCGTAAAGATCTCTCTTTCTTTTTTCCTTTCGCCCCATTCATAAGAAAGTGCACGGAAATTCCCACCGTCTTTGATAGACGGCACGGTGAGTAACATGCCACGGATGTGTTCAGACTGCTGTCCTGGAAAGAGTAGGAATAACCGTATCTCTCCTCTCGCGAGACGAACATACTGGTAAGGAAGTTGAACATCTGATATGACTGTGGGCCATAATTTTGTTTGAGGGTTGATTCCAGTGGTGGGTAAATCGGCTGTGGTTGTGGGATGCGAATCGGAAACCATCAATGCACGACCTGTTCCCGGGGACAGTTTGTCGGAGGGGTTGAAGTCTTTGATCATGGTACGAAATTTAGTTTCTCCCGGAAAGACGAGACGATTCGATGTCATGAGCCCCCAGGGGTCCACAAATACTTCGAAGGTTGGCTTGGAATAGACGTCGCTTATGTGAAAAAGAAGCATGATGTGCCTATCAAGCAGTCCGTTACTAGACTCGAGGCGGCAGTTCTGCATCTGAGGAACAATCAGCACCCAACACAAGTCAAAGTGCGGTATGGATATTGATGCGGGTCAAGACTTACTCTCCTGAGTTGGGCCGTGCTCCATACAAACGGATCGCTTCTGTTTCCACCAGATACGGCAATCTCGATACAAAAGGAAGGATGAGGCAACGTCCGAAGCTCAGCTACGTCAAGCCCTCTTCGCAGTAGAAATTGCACCATCTCGCCTGAGACCTGCTCATCTGCAAGAGTGAATGGCGATGGATCCCACATTGGATTAAACTCCCACATTGACATTGGTTCAAACTCACTCAAACCGGCTCTCACTCGAAGTTCGCTCGTCCAATGAAACTCAGGGTAGTATGTGCCCTTCAACTCGGTCTTGAAAGTCTCAGAAAGGAGCTTTTCGCCATAGTACTCAAGGTGTCTGTTCGGATCCAAGGTCTGCATAACCAGAAATTTACCTTGCGCGTCGATGGGATTGCTAGGTTCCTCGTGTTCCACTTCCGTGAGTTTCAACAGTGGTAAACGTCGATCAGATGTTTCAGAGTCACTTCCAACTTTGTTCTTCTTGCCGCGTCGCGATCTACCAGACCGGTTTCGTGAGCGAGGATCGGATTTCCAAGCTCTTCTTGCATTATCTTCGGACTCAGAACCGTCCCCTGACTCTGAAGAAGTGGAGTAAATCCGACTAATCCCAGTTCGACGAGCATGACGTTGTTTTGTAGGGGGATATGCGCTGTCTTCTGATGTTGCGTTAGCAGGGCTACGGGAAATGGAAGCCTAGTAACAGAATGTTTCTGCCTACCTTGCTTGCTGTCGTGACCTAAATATCCAGCATCGGCGAAAGCGCTGTGAATTCTATCTGTACGGCTCTCGTTTATGGCTGCGTCAAGTAGACGTAAGCTAGTACTGTCTTTGATACCACAATGTTCGGCCATTGTATCCAGAAGGGGAAAGAGACGTCGTTGATGTATCGAATCTTTGCTGGTAGTGAAGATGTGCAAATCTTTGCCCCCGGATACGACCCGGAATGCGATCTTGGCTTCTCGGGCGTGCCCGACATATTCCGGCCCAGCCATGTATCGAAAGATGTATCTCTCAACGATCCTAGGAGCGACCATGACAACAGCATTTTCGAGTTGTATGCGGATGTTATCTCGGTCATGAAGATCCTGGGGTATCAAGCTAGAGACTGATTAGATTTCATTCTGTGCAATAAAGTACTGTAGGTGACGTACTCTACGAAGAAGCTGGTAGAACGCTTTTGGAAAAATCGAGTATCTCGAGCAGAGTAATGTGTTTCACCGGACGGGAAAACCTTCCTTGTACAGAGTTCGGAGAGTTTCCGTGTCTCTAGGTTCAACGCACCCAACAGGGTATTCAGCTTTTTTAAATCCGATGCCGTGATAGCCAGAAGTGGTGCAACACCTTCAAAACTTTTCTTAAAGATGGCATGATCAGCTATGAACCATGTCTGGTCTTCAGCGGATGCTAAGTCGCAAGGGCCCTGTCGCTGTACGCGGCCACGGACAGGAAATATGGTGCGATGACCCAGGGGTTTGACAGCTAGTCTTACTTTGATGGGCGATATAGTGTCTAGCGATGTGCTGATACGAATGAGTAAGTCCAAGATCTGCTGCAATGGCCACAAAGTACTGATAGAGGAGGTCTGCTTGATAAGAGCGCTGATATCGTCTGTGGCGCTGCTCAACAGCCACAGAAACATAGTCCTGCATCCCGGATATCTTCGCAGAACTTCGTCTTGATTTCTCATGGCCTTTTGGATCGTCCACCAGGTAGGCTCATCGCCGCGAGTAGCTCGTCGGCCCATGTAGATCAGGGAGCCATCTTCAAAGGCTAAACTACAAATCCATCAGTACAACGACGTTGGATGGATCGGCATTTGGCTCGTGACATACTGTACTGCATTCTCATCATTCAGGAAGCGCGATTGAATCTGTTCATATAGATAGGCAAGTATGTCGTGTTCCGGTGATGCCTGATGGCTCACAGCCTGCAAAGAAATCAGATAGTAATGAAGATCGTTCGTGACGGCGACGCCAAAGCATGCCAGTCTACGTCTCAGGGTGCCATCTCTGGAGTTTCCTATCTGCAGATATCCCAGTGGAATATCCATGGCGTCCACGTACGTATCCAGGTCTGGAAGGACCATCTCACGTAACGGTACTTGACCTGAGCGACCCATGACTTTGACCGCTCCAATCTCTTCTAGAAGACCCTTGTTTGCGGTAATTGCATCATGCGACTTTTGCTGCTCGGCACTCAACTCAAGCCACTCCGCATAGGTAGTCCAATGTTCGTTGAGGAGTTGCAACACGTCTGCAAGCAAGCACACTCTGAACAAGAACTTGAACTCTTTAGACAAACGATATCTATCCCCAAAGATGCCCTTATGTATGGACACCAAACGTGGTATGGCTGAA